GTGGTCACACAGCACCGAGCTGATCTCCCTGTGCTATGCGGCTGCTTCCCACTAGCTATCTGTTTTACGTTTGGTAGTGTATGTATGTCCATACCACTCTCTCACTTCGTCCCAGCTTACCCTTCCCCTCCCCGTGTCCTCAAGTCCATTCTCTAGTAGGTCTGTGTCTTTATTCCCATCTTGCCCCTAGGTTTTTCATGACTTTTTTTTTTTTTAGATCCCATATATATGTGTTAGCATACCGTATTGGTTTGGAGAGACTATTTAAACCAACTCCCTTAGACCACTCCAGAACAGTTTAGGCCCTTTAAAGCAGGGCCCCCCAAACCCTGGGTAAGGGTCCGCCGCCTGTTAGGAGCAGGAGGTGAGCGGCAGGGGAGCGAGCAAAGCCTCATCTGCTACCCCCCATCGCCCCCATAACCCCCCCATCGCCCCCCATCGCCCCCTCATTGCTCCCCATCGCCCCACATCGCTCCCCATCGCCCCCCATTGCTCGCAGTACCGCCCGAACCATCCCTCCCCCACCCCCGCCCCCCATCCATGGAAAAATTGTCTTCCACAAAACCGGTCCCTGGTGCCAGAAAGGTTGGGGACCGCTGATTTAAAGGTAGAGGCAGCAAAGTCAGCTCTGCTTCAGGTGGTGGGAGTGCTATTTATTTAGCAAGAGTCAAGCAAAATGGGGAAGCACATGACCTCACTTCCGTGCCGTTCTTACAGAATCCCTACAGATAGAGCAAATGCTTTTTATAAATGAGAGAAATAAGGTTTAGTGAAGCTAAGCAGCTTGCGTAAATTCACACCCACAGTAAATGACTAGCCAGCCTTCTGATCTAGATCTAATCTAGATCATCTGATTTCAGATTCCATAGGTTTTCCTAAACACCGCTCACCTTTGTCTTAACCTTCCCTGAATAAGCACTTCGGAGTGTGGCTTTAGTACTTTGTTTTTAAAGCATGTACATCCTTGTGTGCATCCTTGTGTGCATCCTTGTGTGCAACCTGTCCTTCTGAAACTATTCCAAGAAACTGCAGAGGAAGGAACACTTCCAAGCTCCTTGTATGAGGCCACCCTCACCCTGATACCAAAACCAGACAAAGATTCCACAAAAAGAGAAAATTACAGGCCAATATCACTGATGAACATGGACGCAAAAATCCTCAACAAAATACTAGCAAACCAAATCCAACAGTACATTAAAAGGACCAGACACCATGATCAAGAGGGGTTTTTCCCAAGGGGTACAAGGATTTTTCAATATCTTCAAATTAATCATGTGATACGTCACATTAACAAACTGAAGAATAAAAACCATATGATCTTCTCAATAAAGCATATACATCCTTGATTTCAAATGTAGGTAGATAGCAAAACTCAGTCTTTTTTAGTCTTTCACTTTTGTTTCCTTGTGTCACTGCCCTGCTCTGATAGAATAAACACTGGAGAAGGAACAGTGTTGTGGATTAGTTTTTCAAGTTCAAGAAAAATTTGCTGCAAAGATCATAACTAAATTCTTCTCCTATCAGATTCCTACTATTTTATTTTTAAAATAGCTCGTATTATTCTCTTTCGAGTACGCTAAATTGGACACAGTTATTCAAAAGGGACGTAATACTGGCACATGTAATTGCAAATGAAAAGTACAAGTTTTCATTAAGAAATTCGAGGTGGAAATACAAGTTTTCATTAAGAAATTAGAGATGGCATTATCAGAAGGCAGGGGGCAAGAGGAAGGTGAAACCTTACCTCTACCCAGTTAGGTTTTCCTCTGAGATTCTTTCACAAAATGATTGAGAGATAAACAGGCAAGTTGATTAACATGTATACCTCATGCACATACGGGAGATACCCAGGGGAAAATGAGCGACCCTCAAAGAGATGGCTTTAGATTTCAGGATTAAACACCACCTCAATAGAGAAAGGGGAGGGGTGTTGTAGGCCTCTTAGGGGAGACTAAATGATTTTTAGGAAAGATGAATGGACCCTGAGAAGAATAGATGCAAGGTATCTTTGTGACAAAGTTTGGCTGGAGGGATTTATGACAGTTGAGTTCCTTTTGGAGCACTTAGGGAGTTAAAGATAAGCGGAGTTCAGAGAAAACGTCTCCAGCTCAAAATAGTCAATATACCAAAGGGGCATATTTGGAGGTGACGCGTCCTGAGCCCCTGTAGCCAAACTTCAGGGTGCCACGTTCTGCTACCTTTCACAGCTCAGACTCATTCGCCATCATGTCCCTAGTGCTACTGCCTGGCACAGGATTTTGTAGATGCTCAGCAAACATACATGATATTCAGTGACTGGAGGGATGATGGATTGATGGATGGGTGGATGGATGGATAGATGGATGGATAGGAGAAAGAACGTTAGCTCCTTCGTTTGTTATGCAAGTAGAATATTAATATGTTATTTAGCTTCCCTTATTTTGTAAAATGTATTTTATTTGTATTTGTAAAATGTATTTTACAGCTTCCTATAGTTTCAAAAGTTTTTTCAAGTTGTAATAACATAGGATTGTCGCTCTGGTCCCTCCAAATAAATGCCTACCTATGTCAGGCTGCTTTACACACTGGGTTAATCTGATCTTCCAAGCTACTTAAAACTACTACACAAGAGCACTAACGTTAAATGACTTTCCTGTTTGCAGTGATTATTTGCATCCATTATGTCACTTGCTTTTCAAAACAATGGCCTTTCAAAACAAAGCCCTGACCCTGCCGCTAGACTTCTGAATGTCAAATCTTGGTCTACCACCAAATCACTGTGTGATCTGGGCAAATGATTTAATCCCTCCAAGGATTAGTTTTCACATCTGTAAAACAGGGATAATAATAATTGTACCCTGTGATAAGATCGTCATAGAAGTTAAATGAGATATGCCGGTAACGTTCTTGGTATGGGGCCTGGCCTGGTCTCGGAAAGACTTCAACAATTCGTTATCATCTTAGAGGTAGTAGTAGTAGTAACAACTGCTTGTTGTTACGTGTCTGCTCTCTGTACTTTCATTTTCTCCAGGGTGAGGACTGTGTTTTGTTCATCTCCACCTCGCCTCCTAACGTAGGGCCTGTCATGGATTAGGTACTCAACAAATGATTATTGGAATGAATGAGGTAGGCAGGTAACTTTTTTTTTAATCGTAAAGTTGTTTTCCAAATGACTGAACTTCAGCTCTGAGAGGTTACTCCCAACCGGTTTTGAGCGGCTGCTATAAATCAGTCACTTAGATTATGTCATTGAGTCTCCAGGCAACTTTATGAAACGTTTTCAAGTGGCGTCCCAGGATGAAAGCCCACATATTTTTCTTTCTTTTTTTTTTTTTTTTGCGGTACGCGGGCCTCTCGCTGTTGTGGCCTCTCCCGTTGCGGAGCCCAGGCTCCGGACGCGCAGACTCAGCGGCCGTGGCTCACGGGCCCAGCCACTCTGCGGCATGTGGGATCTTCCCAGACCAGGGCACAAACCCGTGTCCCCTGCATCGGCAGGCAGACTCTCAACCACTGCGCCACCAGGGAAGCCCCAAAGCCCACATCTTTGAATCCCGAGCCCAGAACCATTTCCACTAAACTCTCCTGCCTGTCTTACAAAATATACAAGAATTCTTCCTGGGTCAGTTACTAATATATAACCATTATAGCATTTGGGAAAATAACTTTATGAGTTAGGAAATGAATTGATTATCTAAGTTTTATTTATTTGTTAGATCGCAAAGAAAATTGGACATGAAAATGTTATACTATTCTCAGTACCCTAGGTTTTTGAATTCTAGAGTAAAAAAGACAACAGGCAACTGAATGTGAATATGATAAAATGAACAAATAAGAAAAGAGGAGTCTGAACAGTTAAAGAAAGTGTAGGATAAGTGAGTACTTCACAAATGAAAGCAGATGTATGAAATTACAAGCTGTCAGATAAGCAAAGGAAATGAAAATGATAAAGTGGTTCCTTACATAGATTATAATTATTCATTTTGCCCAGTCCTGTCCCCTTTCTCCATAATGTTCATGGGAAGGGGGATGTTCCCAGCAGAAGAAGGAAAGAAAAACCTAAGAGTCAAGGGTATTTCTGATCACAAAAAAATTATTTTGTGACTTACATTGTTTCTAGTGAGTCACAGTTGTTTTCCTACGGAATATTTTTCAGCTAACCGTTCTGATTAATGAAAAGGATTCAGTCACAGCCACAGGAAGTTGCAACTGTAAAGTTTGTTCACAATCATGCTGCCGAGGCCGTCAGCCTAGCTTACAAAACAAGAGTCGCTAATGGGCGCAACTGTGACAGCAGTGGCAGATGGATTGCCAAGAAATGAAGTAGTTTACATAGACCTGCCTGAAAAGATGTGTTTAATAATTGCAGCCATAATTAGGTTGATTTGGGGAAAAAAAATTAAATGACGGTCTAAGGAGCACAGTTAGGCTAATCTATGAAGATTTTGACACTTTTCCTCCAAGAAATGCTGCATAAATATCTTTCCTAAATTTCTTGTTACCTTTAGGAAAACAAACAATTGGAAGAAATTATATTCTCTTTAATTTTGAACTATGTAATATTTATATATACAAAAATAAATGTAACATATGTAAGTTGTGAAGCATAGTAATCAGGGTACATAATATTTTATGAGAATTTTAAGCTGGTTCTTTCCCATTCATAAGATTTTTGTTACTAATTTCCAAGCAGCAAAACTAGAGACATTTAAATACAGCCATATAAATGGCAATAAATGTGCATGCTTCTAAGAGTTTATTTGTGTTACAAGCGCACACACAAATCTATATCTGAGGCTCTTCCTTCCAACACCGCCCTGACGATGAGTGCTGGTATATTAGTACAGTGTGCTGCTTCAAAGGCCATTTGGTAACGATCCCGTCTCCCCATTTCCTTTTGTCCAAATCAGTCGAGTTATTGGTTTGCTTTCTTTGAATCTAAGTTGTTAATTTTGTTTCTCTTAGTAATGCAGGTATCTGAAACAGCATTGCTTCTCAATTGCTTTTTTTCCCCTTTTATTTAGTGATCTCTAGTAACTACCAGACCTGTCTTGGCCTTCTGATGCATTACCCACTCATCGGGGATGTTCACTCGCTGATTCTTAAGGCTCTGTTCCTTCGCGATCCCAAGGTAAGCTTTCCATGTGGGATGTGCACAGTTTTAAGTGGGGTGAAAAACTGGTTTCTCTACATGACTCCAAGAATTCCTAATGTAGAATTTGCCTAATAGCAGATGAATTGCCTACAGGCCACAACTCCACATACCTGATGGTTTAGCAGCTCAGCGGGCAAATTCAAAGGACACTGCCCTGAGAAACAGGAGCGCACGTCTCTTGTAACTCAGGAGGTTGTTCTGCCCACCTGCTTCCTCGTAACTCAAGGAAATAGTTGAGCACCTGCTTCTCCTTATAACCACACTTCATGCCGGGGGCCAACTGACCCAGGTACAGCCTCGTGAGCCATGTGAAGACCAAGACATTAGAGCTCTAAAAAGGACCAGTTTTCTAAGAGTTTATGATGCAGTGAGACACTAAATTATTTCATGTTATGAACATGTATTTCTTATTTTGCGGGTGAAGAGTAACCTAATAAAATAAAGATTTAAAGAGTCTTTAATGCTGATTTCTCTATTTGAACTTAAAGCAAGTCACCAAAATTTTCTTTACACTCCAGAGAAAAAGTGTGCTCTTTTACAACTAATGTTACATTTCTTGAAAATAAGAACATTTAATGATCTAAAAAAATCTGTGAATCCTTGATGCTTTTGAGCCAAACAAAAATATTGGATGAAGTATAAGAGAGAAAGCTTCAAACACGAGGACTAGGATGCCAGGCGCTGGGTGGTAATCCCAGCCTTTGGCTCTTTGGCAGAGCTCCCAGCAATCGTGTTGGCAGTTGTCGAACTGTCTTTGAGTCAGTCTGTCTGTGGATTCCACTGCCAGAGCTCTGTCTGATCAACGTGGACCTCCAAGTTCAACGTACATTTTGTTTCTGAAGGATTTCTGTCCTTTCATCAGTTGTTGACTTCAACATTTGAGCATGTATTTATTCTTTGCTTGATTTAAAATTATTGTTTTCCTGTGCCTATATCCATTTTCTTCAGAAATACACAGTTTTATGTCATTTCTCCTATACAAAATTTCATTAAGTGTCAGAAATACAATCCATCATTTCTCTAATACATAAGGCAGCATTTTTTTTTTCTGGTAAGGCGTAGGAGTCAGACTATGAAAAAAACCTACAGTCTCATATTTACTCTCTTATGTATATGTAGGCTGTATACGTATATATTTTTAATATGAAATAGTCAAGATTATGGCATATCTATAAAAGGAATAAAGGATGAAGTTTCTGGTCAATGAAGTATCTGAGTTTTGGTCTACAAACTTAAGGTAAATTCTATCTGCTCAGCATTGAGAATTACTAGGGTCATACAGAGCGGGAAAAAATTGCTAAAATAACTGTTTGAATTATCTACCTGTGTGATTTGTTGGGTTTAATTGAAAGGAGAAACGAATATGTTATCTAAACCTATCCATCTTGGTAAGTTTTTTCCTAGCTAAATATGGTTGATCTTCCTATAAACCATTCACTCTTATGGTTGCAGAATTCTGTATACTAAATTCCTCAATGTTGTTAGTGGAATCCGTAATTTTAATAGAGTACTTTTGACATTAAAAAGATAGTATATGTAATATAGAGAATAATGAAGCCAATTCTACAAGCATTAAGAAAAATTTTCTCCAAGGTTTAAGAGAAAAAATGTAATAGCATAAGTATCTAAAAAATAGTATTCCCCACTTTTACATTCAGAGTCTTACCAAGTAAAAACAATCAAGATAATTGTCCAAAAGTTAGGACTTTAAACTGGTATTTCTGAGACATGAGAAACTGGGCAGAAGGAGGGAGTCATGTGTAAAAAGCTCCTGAGAACAAGTTCGTGGCATGATGATATCTGTAGGGGAAGATAAAGCAAGCTGCAGAGTACTAAGGGGGTTTCAGACGGCCAACCCAGCAAGGTGGTAGTTTTAGTTAAGTGTATGTAATGGCTGATCCATTGACACTATTAGTAAATGTCAAATGATAACTAACATCACTTGGCATATCTGCTAATTGGAGATCTATCGCAGTGTGGTGTCCTGGGTCTTGCCAGGAGCCTGAGCTAGGAATTGGGACACTGGGCCAAGTCTTGGCTCTCCTACCAAATGTCCTTGTGATCTGGGGATTCACGCTTGCTAAGTCTTGGTCTCCTCTTTTGTTGCCTCTAACAACCTACCCAAGCAGAGCAGCCTTTGACCATAAAGAACTGACATCTAATGATATAATAAGATCCAATCCAGTGCTACAAAGGCACAAAAGAAAAAAAAAAGAAGTAAGTTTATATATATCGTAAAAATCCACCAGTGGATAGAGCTTTCAGTGTAGTTCATGTCAGCTATAAAGTCAGCGAGGAGGCCATGTAAAGAGAGGGAAAGACGATGCTAGTACCCCACCCATAGCCTCTGAGGATCCAGACCTCAGAGTGCTTTAAATGTTTTCTATTTATTAGCAACAATGAAACACTTAAATCAGAGTAAGTATATAAACACACAAGTCTCTATGAAGTGACCTAGTAGGAAGAGATTTGAGGCATGAAAGTTTACTGTCCTGTATCCCAGCTTCACATGGCAGTTGTGCTGAGTGCTGCTGACAGACTCAATAAAATAAAAATGAACAAGGAGTTCTGGGCCTCCCTAAATTCACTGTCAGCCTTCAGAGAAACGCTTCGTCCTACCACTATCCCGAAATCGCAGTGGAGACTGCTCAGTTGAGAATAGACTCTGCAGTAGAGCTTGAGACACTGAGCTGTTACTTATTTTCTATCAGATGTCAGCTTTACTGTGAAAAGATTTCTCATTTGAACAGACTGAAATAATGGGCTGGTAAACTGTAATCACAGGATCATACTCGTTCACGTCTCCAAGTACTTTGATATGCTTCCTTTGGTCCTCACTACAAGCTCCGAGGCAGCAGAGCGGGTTATCTTTCCTCCTTCTTTTTCAGTGCAGAGGCCATGTGGCTTTCCCAAGGCCGAAACGCTTGTAAGCTTCCAAACTAGCTGGAATGGTTCCATGACCCTTGTTTCTACTCATCCCCTCCTGAGGTTCCCAGCCTCTGTTCTTCCTTCCCCAGGAAGCCATTCCCAGACTCAGATAAGACACGTCTTCCCTTTGAGTCCTCATAGCCCCTTGTAGTTTAGTGATTTGCTCGTATCTTCTGTCAATTATCCCTCCTCATCATCCTGCTCGTTTGTTAGCATTTAGCTCTGTGTCGTGCAGTGGTTGGTATTAAGAAGACAATGGTAGCGTTGAATGCTGACTTAAGCACTGCGCCTCTTCTAATACTGACTCTAATCCAGGTGGATCTCACTCACCTTACATATTTCTGGAACCCATACCCACATTCCACAGAAACCATAGCCAATGGTATATTTGTCAGCGCCATTTTTATCAAGATGGTGAAGTGACCCTACAACTTGAACTGAAAGGGCATCTAGTTCCTTAATTTAATATCGATCAGAATTATTTGAAAACCTGTTATCACCTTCAAATATTATGGAACAAAGAAGATACAACAAAGGATCTAAATAATATACTTGGGGGCTTCCCAGGTGGTGCAGTGGTTGAGAGTCCACCTGCCGGTGCAGGGGACACGGCTTCGTGCCCCGGTCCGGGAAGATCCCACATGCCGCGGAGCGGCTGGGCCCGTGAGCCATGGCCGCTGAGCCTGCGCGTCCGGAGCCTGTGCTGCGCAACGGGAGAGGCCACAACAGTGAGAGGCCCGCGTGTCGCAAAAAAATAATAAATAAATAATATACTTCACTTAGACTGTGCAAACTTCAGAACTGCCAAGAACCAAGAGAGTCTAATTCCGCTCCTCCTTCTGTAATATGAACAAACTGAGGATCCAGGTATTTGAGAGACTTTTTCAAGGTCACACAGCTTGTCAGTGGCGGAGCTAGCCGTTGAACCAAGGTCTTCCAGCCACCCTTCCACACAAGAGCTGTAGCTTCGTTAGTTTTAAAAATAGTGGAATCCTAGTTACTGATATTTCTCATACGAATTCTTTTATTTGTAGTATATATTTATTTGCATCTGTAATAAATGAAAGTGCCACGTATATAAGTGGCCCAAGAACTACTTGAAATGTTTGTAAGTGTATGCTGTCTGAAGAGACTGGATATCAAATATCTGTAGCATTCTATACTCTGTTCACCTTACGATATGGTTTCTATACTTAGCTCTTCAGACCACAATCCTGATTCTCGTTTTCCTTTTATTATATTAGAATCACTGAGCAGATTTCCAAAAACAATCCACTAAACGAAGTAGAGGAGTGGAAGGATGACAGTCTGAAAAATATGAAGTGATTAAAAAACATTGTTCTAACTAGTTGTTCAAATTCCAAAAAAAAATTTAAAACCCAATTAGAAACAAAAGTCATAGAAAATGTGAACATATTGTGTTCCTTAAATAACCAGATGTTCTCTCCTTCCTGAAGGCAGTAAGGGCTAGGAATAAAAGGTTTAAAACTATTGTTTTAAGTTAACTGTGAATTTTGCAAATCTGTTTTTTACCCTTCAGCAAATAGAATTCTAATACAGAAACATAAGCAAAGTAATTTTCATTTTTCGGTCCTCTCTTATTTGTGTTGCATGTTGAAGTGTTAACCTTATCACAAAGACTTATTACAAATGAAATACAGTACATGAATTAACATTGTAGATTATTCAGTAAGAGTTTGACAGCTACCGTTTATTTGAAGACTAGAATAGTCCCCCAATATTATATTTCTGGTAAGTTTGTAAGCATCCCTGTTATTGTTTATGGGAGAAAATTGCTAGAAATAAGACAATTTAATTTTATAGTCATTCTTGTATACAGAAGCACAAAATATATATACTATAAAATAAATATATATATATATATATAATATAGTGTACAGTGTTCTTGTGCTTGGCCAATTCTGATTTGGCTTTTGTTCGGAGTTATGTTAAATATTGCTTTTTTAAATTATAACGTCTGAATATTCAGATTTTATGCAGGTAATGGACTTTTATTCTTTAATTCCAAAAACCCTCACTGTACATGC